CCCCAAAATTATGTGAACTTTCCTCATTTGAACTCTAACATCTTTCTCAATGTATCTTTTTATCTATCATGTTACTTTTTTACATTTTATGGGACCTCTATTATCATCTCTTTGAAAGGTAAACGAGTGTGCTTGTGCACACGCACATAGATACATACATACATACATACATGTGTGTAGACACACAAAATATAATGTCATTATAAAATATTCTGTCCAAAAAAACATGGTTGGTCACGGTATAACTGTTTTATTTTATCAAGGTAAATGTGTACGTTATGTAAACTTTATTTTTAATTTAATTAGATTTATTTATTTTCCTGGTTTATATCATTTTTTAAAGTTTCATGAAAAAATAGTTTTTTATGAAATAAGACATTTTTTGGGCAAAATTAGCTGTTGAAACGTGACTTTTTGGCGAAGTGGTATACAATTCAAGTTGTGAAATGTTTGAGTCCTGCATCAGTTGCATGAGCCAAACACAAAATGGGATTTGAGGTGGTATTTTCTAAGAGAATCTTTTCTACCAAAGGGTCTACTATCACTCACTTAGCTTTTTAATTTTCTCCTTAAGCTTCCCGGTCGTACTGATAATGAGATAAAGAACTACTGGAACACAAGAATCAAGAGAAGACAGCGTGCTGGCCTGCCCATTTATCCTTCAGATCTCTGTTTGAAAACCGTAAGTGCAGGAATGCAGGGCACATTTTCAGGTGGAATTACAAATGAAGACATATTACATATGAACACTTTTGACATTCCAGCTGTGGAATTCAAAAACCTGGGACTAAATCATCAGCATTCATACCCACCACCTGTAATCCTTGATAACAACCTGCTGGGACAAGGTGTCAAGTCATCGTGCATTGACAGGCATTTCATCTCATCTGCGATTCATCCTTCCAAACGTTTCAGAGGAGGAACAGAGACCGCTTCCTTGTTCCCAGGTGCAAACAGTGATCTTCTACCAGCATGCGGCCCCTACCAGCAGAGTAGCACTTCCCCATATTATTTTGATTATGGATCTTTTGGGGTGCTTTCTTCTTCTTCTGGTCACCACCAGCCATTGTTGTTGGGTGGTGTTATTCCAGGCAGCCATGCCTCATTAAATGGCAACTCCTGTTCCTCTTCTTCTGAGCCCTCCTCATGGGATAAGAAGCTGGAGCTCCCTTCACTCCAAAGTCATATAGGTAGCTGGTACTCATCACCAGACACCATTGTTGACACCTTGATTCAATCACCCCCTTCAATTGAAACACGGAGTCCTTCCCCGCGAAACAGTGGACTGTTGGATGCTGTGCTTTATGAGTCACACACAAAGAATAACAACAATCATACTACTCCTACTTCATACCAACAGACTTCTGATGTTTCCCCTGGTAGTACCATATTTGATACTAATAAGTTACGCTCCAATCTTAATGAGACGACAGGATGGGAAGCATACGGAGATCCAATCTCCCCTTTAGGCCACTCATCTGCTTCTGTGTTTAGTGAATACACCCCCCCTGTCAATGCAGACAAGCCACACTCAGCTGGGACTGCAACAGGTGAGTATGTGTGTCTATGTGACGACTTATATTCAAAGAATATGTGCTTTTTGAAAGAAGATAAGAACTTTTACTCTTTTTTAAAGTGCTTTAGTGATAAAAGAAACACATTTTTTGTGCTTATTTAAGAAATACAGGGCTGGTAATTTTCTTCTTCTTCAAAAAGCAGAAGAAGCACTTTAAGTGCTGAAATGAGAAAGGATCTCTTATAATAGCATAGAAGCACGTTTAGTGCTTAGATGAGAAAGCACCTCTTATAAAAGAATTTATAGCATAAGCCATCCCAACATTCAATCAATTTTCTAATTAATTAGTAGACTAGGCTCTTTTGTCATTGTTTATATTGTAGATGTGAACTGTGCTGTGAATCTTCTGATGATTCTACTCCACTATGGTTTTGTAGGATTGAAAGTTAAGGAGGAGGTGGAGGAGGAGATGGAGTGGTCCCCCGCGATTCAGTATGATGAATCAAACCAGTATATGTTTTCCAGGACAGACTTGCTTGCTTCAAACGCTTTTTGCCATCAAACGAACCACCACAATAAGAATCATTCTGTACTGAAAGAGGTATTTGGTGCAGTTCTGTTTGATGATCTTAGCAGGGAATGCAAGAACTTGAGATCCATGGCCACTGCATCGGGAGCGTGTCCTTGCCCATGGGATGCCATGTCCACCGTGTAATCATTTCCCCTTCATTTCTTAAGGAAAAAATTACCAATTCAGATTCCCAGCTTTTCCTTCTGAATGACCGACCACCTTACAGAAAAAATATAACATTTTTATCAGCTGATACATTGTGTGACCTGCTTCTTTTTCTTTTTAGTTGTATTGGTTCTTTGCAGACATCAAAAACTGAAAAGCTGTATGGTGTCAAACCTGCAACCGATTGTTATTCGATTCTCAGTCATTTCCATAAAACTTTACTTTTGTTGAAAACTAAGATTGTTGTGATATATGTACTTTACAGTTCTGCCTGTCATTTTGGTGATGCACTCAGCTTTGCTTTGTAGAGCAATCCAAATGGGATTTTATTTTTTATCTGATGTGGTTAGTAATAAATTAAAGCACTCATTCTCTTTCCTTCCCAGCTCACTCATATAGTCATAGCTGCTTGTGTGGCTCACATGTGATTGTGTTGTCATCTCCAGAATGTTCCGTAGACAATTCATGCATATCTTGTTCTTCATGATGCCTTCCCAGCTATGGAAGGCATAAAATACAGATTTGTTTATAAGAACTCATCAGATTTTTCCTCCCTATAACGTGTCTTCTTCATGATTCGTGCACATCGTACATTTCTTCTTATGGAAATTATCTATACTCCCAAAAAATACTTCCTGGTTTGAATTGGCACGCTTATTAAGAAAGTAGAATAAAGTGGAAATGTTTCCTGGTTTGAATTGGCACGCTTATTAGGAAAGTAGAATAAAGTGGAAATGTATGGTTGTAGGTGTGTAAGAAAAAAGTAAAATGAATGTGAGTCACACAAATTGTCCAAAAAGGGAAAGTGAGAAGTATTTTTTGGAACGGCCAAAAAGGAAAATGGGAAATATTTTTTGGGACGAGGGAGTATATATTTTGTGATGGACAATGAAGGACAGGTGAACGTTTTTGCTTTATTGACAGTGAGGTTTGCTAAGGTATATGTTCACAGCCACAGGAGTGGTGTTTGAAGGATTTAGCTGTGAGCAGAGATGATGTTTCCCACTTTCCCACTATGATAGGAGACAGTAACTGAGATAGGGGTAGTCTGATTGCAATACTTTCCTATTAGTCGTATTAAAAAAATAAGAGCCTCTTTGGTAGCACATGTTTTCAAATTATCGATCTTATTAGTCAATTTTTTTTATCAAATACGTAATCAAAATAAATAAGGTACATTTATTTTTCTGGTCGGATTGATTAAATTTGTTGAATATTCCTATTTTAGTTTTCATATACTTTTTTTTTATTTTATACATGGACTTGGATGTTGTTGTATTCTTTATTTTATTAATAAAATACATTTCAAATATAATTGTTTATAGTTCGATAGATTCAGATGATTCAATTGATTCAATTAAAAAATCACCAATTTCAACATAATTATCCATTCCGACTTCCAATATTATCAAATGAGCTCTAAGCTGATATTTTTTTATATTTATACATTTCTTTCATAATATATTTTTTCATATTCATACACTTTTTTCTATAATATATTTCTTATCTCTTTTATATGTTGTTAGATTTTTAAGATACTAAATTTGTTTATTTTGATTTACATTTGATAAAAAATGAAATTATTTTTTCATGTGTGGTTTATATTTTCATAAAATATCTTTTGGCTATTATAATTAATTGAGCAATTACACTCATTTTTTTCATTATTTATATTTGAATAATTTGATAATATATGGAATCACATCTTCACGTGCGCGAGTTACACCTTTTTTATGCGTGTGTTACATATTTTTTTATATGCGAGTTACATTTGAACTTGACTCAACAAGTTACATTTTGCATATTTCTAAGTTAGATTTTCCATTAACGCGAGTTACATTTTCCACAACACGAGTTACATCACAAAATAAACCCCTGCTATTGAAACAAAAAAATCAATTTTTTGCAAACAAAAAAGTTTTTTTTTGGCTAAAAATTGATTTTATGACAAAAATCTTATTTTCATTTAAAACATTTTTGTGACCTTAATACTAAAAAAAAAATTGTTTACTTTAATTAATTGAGCAAATAGACTCCTTATTTTCATTGTTTACATATGATAATATATGAAATTACATCTTCTTATGCGCAAGTTACATCTTTTTTACACTTGAGTTGCATTTTCCTATACGTGAGTTATATTTGGACTTGCCTTAACAAGTTACATTTTGCATACATCTAACTTAGGTTTTTCATCAACGTGGTTTACATTTTTCATAACATGTGTTACATCGCAAAATAAACCCGTGCAAAAAAAATTCTTTTTTGCAAAAAAAAGATACTTTTAGTAAAACAATCACTTTATTTGGTAAGAATTGAGTTTTTAGCAAAAAAATAATTTTTAAACAACATTTTTATGGTCTTAATATTAAAAACAAAACATATTCATTATTTAGGTAAAGTAATTGAATAATCAGACTCATTGTTTTCATTGAAATCAATATTTTATTTCTTATTATCCGTATTAGACAAGTTAAAAGAAAATATGTGGCCTACAACATTTTACTTTATTATACTCAAATCTCAACCACAATTTTTATTTTTTCAACAACTTTATTAATAATTATGTCAAGTCAAAGTAAGACATATAAAACAGGATAGTACTATTTACTGAGTGTCTGAGTTACTAGTCAAATTTTTGTTATGTTTTTTTCCTCGCATCTCCTAGGCATATACATCTTTCAACTCACAAGAGTCTCGTGTTCAATGTTAGTGAGAACCTTGTGGCTACCGATTCTGCTATACTTTGCTGATTTGATGAACTGAGGGAGAAAAAGTGTTTCCATTTAAACCCAGAAAAATGTAGTTTGACATCGTGTTGAACATGCTTTTGTGGTATGAACATGTAGAGGGTGGGGGTGCGGCTCTAACTATCATTACAAACAAACATTTTCTGAACATATAAGGATGGTGGAATATTTTTCGTTATGTAACACTGTTTTGGTGGTTTTACACATGTCCATTCTACTGTAACAGATCATCACTGTGGTAGTAGAAAAACTACAGGATCATGAGTCAGGTCCTTTGCCGTACCCTCCTGCCATCAGTATCCGCACCGCTGTCAGAAAGCTGTGCCCAAACACTACGAGACTTCCCAGCTCCACTGCTGCAACCATCATCTTCCTCACAGCCAGCCACTGTCTTCAGAAGTTCTGACTGAAGCGACGGGCAGTTTTCTTTTAGATATTTGAATCCATCTGATTGCATCACAGCTGCACATATATGGACAGCCCCTCGCAAAATTACTATTTTTACTGATAATAAACAAAAATAATTGTAACATAACTTTTACCATTCACATATTGTGCCAACTTCATTCATAAAATGTGTTTTTATAACCTAGGAACACCTGTGTCTACTAGTGAACCCGTCCACCTTGCAAGGGCGGAGCCCGGCAGCCCGCCACTAGTGCTCGGAGGTAAAACCCGGAACCGAGCACACCGACCCCTGTAAGACCATGCCAACAGTTAAAATGTCCCGAAGGACTACAGGATCACATTAGGTGGCATGTGGACCTAATGGCAACACCAAGCTTAAATACTTTTATGTTGGCCTTCGAACTTGAGTTGCAAGACCAAGCTAAAGTACTTGTGTGAAGAGCTTTTAAGACCATTGGACTACCAACCTTCCGTTTCCTACATGTGTCTGTGGTTGTATATTCAAGGTATTTTACTGCCGGTAATATCCTGGGTAATGAGGAGACGAGGAATGTAAACACTCCTCAAATGAAGCACACTAAATGGAGGGGTTAAATGATGTATGGCTGGACTAACAGTGAATGAATGAATAAAGAGAAACGTGCATGGATAAACCGTTTAAAATTGGACTCATCTAAATGACAATCTTCTTGGGTTCAAATTCTAGGAGAATCATGCAAATCGCAAAAAAATATGTAAGCTTATGTTCGGTACCAGGAAGATGGTATGGAAAGGAAGGAAAAAACAAAAACAAAAACAAAAAACTATAGATTTCAAACCACAAGGGAATATTATTCTTTATATTTGGTTTTGCTGTTTTAGGATGTTTTTACATGGACTGTTTTTTGTCCCAAACCAAACCAGACTTAAACAGACCAAAACAAATCAGACTACAATAGCTTAGTTTTAAAAGGCGCGAGGCGGCACGAGGCGTTTTCATTGATTTACCCGAGGCGCGAGGCGCTAGGCGACGAGGCGTGCGCCTCACGGATCTTAACATCATATCTTTGGTAAGATATATAGTATACTATTTCTAGTCTTCTACATGAAGCACTCATCTCAAAAAATGATAACATCACAAAAATACTTCAAACTATTAAACAATCTTAACATACATCATAAGACAAATCAAATATTTATCAAGACAATAGCAAGAAATAAATATCAAACGGCATCATTGGCAAGAGTCAAGTCAGAAAAGTCAATCTTAAAATTTCAAAACATAATTAATAAGATGTTATATAAAAAATTGTTAATAATAAAATCTGTCTTATATATTTGTTAAATAAAATCAAATATTTAGGTACCCTACTCAGCATGATCTAGAACAGACCAACAGAGGTAGTAACACTACAATTTCAAGGTAATAAAATATAAAATAATACATAATTAGTAAACTATCACACGTATAAGAGAACAAACTGTAGAAGAGAAGAAATAAATACTTACCTGCGACTACTCAGTGACGCGAGAAAGTAGCGGAAGAAACAGACTTGCGAGTCTTGCTACGCGAACAAGAAACAGGACCGCAGATGTGGGAACTCGGAAGCAAACCAAACGCAGAAGGAAGAAGGGAGAAGACTAGAGACTCAATCGCCAAAAGAGACATCCATGATGCGTGAGAAGCGCGCGCCTCTCAGAGGTGCAAAAGGCGTCAAAAAGCGCCATATAAGGCGCGCCTCTTGGAACCTATGCCGCCTGGGGGTGGAAGATGCGATAAAGTGATCGCCTTAGGGCGCCTCGCGCCTTTGCGCGCCTCAGGCGCGCTTTTTTAAACCAAGTTCAATAGAGACCAGACATTTACCGGACTTGAATAGAACAAACCAGACTGTTTCAAGTGACGATTCCTATCTCTAATTCTGCTGCTGCATCTTCACCGTCCTTTTCTGGGTCATCTCACACAGGCTTCAAATTGAGGGTCGATTGAGGATGCTGAAGATAAGAGAGAAGTCTGGATCGAGATTGAAGCTTCAAATTAGGGATAGGGTTCTTTGAGGAAGATGGGTGATGAAAGGAGTGAGGATATTGGGGTGAGAAAGAGTCGAAGAACACATTTGTTAATGAAAGCTAGAAAGGGTGAGAGGGTTGAGGAAGAACAGTGTGATACGGAAGAGGGGAAGGAATAATTGGGGGTGAGGGAATTATTAAAAGGGTAGATGTGTAATTGTACATAATATATTTTGCCAAAAAAGGAAATGAGACCATTTTGGGACAGCTCAATAAGGAAATACAGGACCATCAATTTGGGACGGAGGGAGTATTAAGATTTCCCAGTCTTTAAGTCTTCATATAATAGAAATATAAATAAATATAAAAAGACAAAGAGTTGAACACATAATAGTCATATACTGATATGTTGAGTTTAAACCAATTTTTTATTTTCTTCAAAATTTTGTTTCTTACCAAATTTCTCAAATATTTTCATCATTCTCTATCTCTAGCATTTCCAAACAGAAAATAAAGAGTAAAAGTATAATTTATGTATTTCCCAGGTTCCAAACAGACCCTTAGAAGAGTGACTTTTTGTTTAGAAAAAAGAAAAATTCATTTGTACATGTTTTTTGGAATTTGTGTGTGTACACTTGTACACAAACATGTACAAAAAAGTGTACATCAAGAATTGTTGTAGAAAAAAATGAGAAAGGTATAATTAATGTACTTCTCATGAATCATGACTATTGCTACAGATTTCTGAACATGGACAGAGAAGGTGTTGGAATTGCCAAACACATACCAGCCAGGTTTTCAGCAGCATATCGAAGGCAAACAGATTTAAGCTCCATGGCACGATAACAGTCTGCAAGAGCTAGAGTCTTTGCAACAGAATCCACGGATATATCTTTGCAGAGATAAGCTTCACACATCCTTTTGAGTCTTCCCAGCTCATACCGATCAGCTGCTTCGAGCAACTTTGCTGCTAATGTATCAGACAAAGATGATACACTAGATGAGCTAGAAGCTTCTAGATCACCTGCTAAAAGAGCATCTGTGTACACAAAGTGCAGCATAGCCTGTTGGGTATCACAAAAAAGGTAGTGGCAAAAAAATAAGTAGAAACCCATGAAGACGGAAACATTGAATGGCAATTTAACTCCAAAAGGAACCTACAGAAAACAAACCAGTAGTAGAAAGAGTGTCTTCACACCTTGAAGACCTTGGGTTCCATATTAGTAACAACAATGTCCTGCTCCTCACTCTCCGATCGATCAACGAACACTGAACGGAAGATGGGAGAACGAGCAGCCATTACCAGTTTATGGGCACGAAATTTTTCACCAGCAACATTGAAGGTAATATCAGACCCTTCCATGTTTTCCAGAAGCATACCAAAATGTGATCCAATGTCCGAAACAGGAACATGAATAGGAGGCAGATTTAAAAAATCTGTGGTAGAAGTAGAACGCACGACTCCAACAGTACAATTAATTTTCAAGCAGTCATCCTTAAGATAGTCCGATGTTTCAAGCATTACTCGCCTGAAAAAACGTTTGTACCCCCTACATGTTTTAACATGGAAACCATTAGCAGAGGCAGGGGCAGTTTAGGCCAAAAAGGTAATGAATAAGATAAATGTTCATCCAATCAATGTTTTATATATGGTTATAGCCTAAAGATATCTTATTTTATGTTTCCAAACACGGGACAGCTCAAATTGTCAGCCCAAATTCCTCCCAAGGAAAACATTTCCATCCTCAGATTAACGATGAGACTTTAGTTAACTGACGAACAAAAACTTCTCCAAGGAATATAAAAAAATAACCCAAAATGATAATATAAGAAAATTAATGCTTCAAAAAAAGCTAAAAATAAAACATAACTAAATTATCTTAGCTAATAATAGATCTCATATTAATAAATGCTCCTGTTGTCCTGAACTAAGGTTCGTCATTTCCTTTTCACTCTGTCCAATAATAAGGTTACAGACTTATAATTTCCTATTTAAGGATATTGTATAATTATATACTACCTCCGACCCGGTCCCGTTGGAAGGTTCCCATACCAAAACGGCACGATTATTTAGGCAATAATTAAATAAAGTACTTCGAGTATATTTTGAGAAATAATTTTAATAGGTATATATTATAATGTAGTTAGTATTGATAACTGTGATGTTATAAATGTATTATTTTTAATATTTAATGATTAATTTGTCACTTAAGATTGTTAATTGTTTCCTAAAATGGAAATGGGAGCCTTTATATGGGACGTCCAAAAAAGAAAAGTGGGAACCTTCTAATGGGACAGAGGGAGTAATTGATAATTTTCTTTCCTTTTTAAATAAATCTCAATTCTCAACCACACTTTCACTTTTCTTAACAACAACACCAAATCAAACCATAACAGAGGAAGTTGGAACACAGGAAGTATGTCTGGTCACTGGTGAGTGAGCACATGACAAACAATTTGTTGATATAGTTTGCTTGTAGTTACATGTAGAACAAAGAGGGGTGATTTGGGGCCTTCTGTGTTGCTCCAATTAACAAATTATGAATTTTTGGTATAGATGTCATTACGCGGACCAACCATCCATTCCTCCATTAGAGGAAAAGTCTCACACATCCATCAGATTTATGGGTCCATCTCATTGAGCGTCCGATGATGTCACAGATTAATATCAATCTCCTAGTCACTAAAATTAATCTTGTATGAACAAATAAACAAAATACTACATTACAGTGGATATCAATCTCTCAGTCACTAAAATTTCTTGGGCACATGCGGCATGCCACAACTGCAGCCAGCATTATGAATGATGGCCAAAATTCTGCCATATGAAGCTGCCATAAACCACCATAGTCAACATCCTCCATATATTTCCTATGGTGGCAAGCACAATATGTCATTGTTATGGCCCTATGGTGGCTACCAAAATCTACCACTGTTCCAGCAAGGGTGACATTTAACAACACCAAATGCAATATGTCAATGCAGATGGTTCAAGAAATGCTAAAGCTAATGACTAATGCTACCCATATAAGTATGACTGATCAAATTTTGGCCATCAAGATCAAGAATTATAGAGCACAGCACGTTAAGGTGCCCAGCTTGACATATATAGCAGTCAGGCAGTCAGCTAATGAACTGTGGTTGAAGTTGAGAATTAACTTTCTGTTACTTTATGTGATGACAAAGAATGGTGACCTAATTGTAGTTCAACAAATTCAACATATCAACATCATCTAAACAGCTTTCTATTTTCAGTATAGACAATATCAATTTTGAAATTGTAAATAAAGACTAACGATTGGAAAATTAAACTACCAAATGAAGTACTAAACCCAAACCCCACATGCTTTGAAAACTAATTATTTGAAAGCCCAAACAAATGATTTGACAACTTATATTCCAGTCCACTGTTTTAGCCCAATATTTTCCATCTCTTTTCTGCCTATATAACCAGTAGATCAGGCATTTGAGCTCGCTTCAATACACAAGTAACATATCCTTCCTCACCTTTTATCTCTCAACAACTATGAACCTCAAAAATAACTGTGATTCTCAGATTTTTACAAAAGCTTAGAGAACAACTCAGAGAATTAGTAAAGAATTAAATACACTGCTTACTTGTCATGCAAGCATCTTTATCTTCACTTATATTTCGTTCTGTAGAAACAAAGAGAACTAAGTGCTTATGTGGCATTCAGTTCAGGCTATCTAAGATTAGCTTGGTATTTTGAGAAGGTAATGTCAGATTATTATTTTTGGTTTGAGTTATAAGGTTTTCAGAGGAAGTTAATGTGAGATTACCTTGTTTGGTTTGAGCTTTAGGGTTATGAAATATCTTGAATTACTATGGCATAGGAAAATGAGGTAACATTGGTGTAATCTGATTGCCATGGGTTTCTTCGATAAAGTAATATTAGTATTTAGTATAGTACCTTGCCAATTGCCATATTCCAGTTCTGTCATTAAATATGCGTGGTATATGCTTTCAAATAGATAAATATTACATTATGTGGTCTTACATTCCATGAACCGAACACCCCCGCTTTAAAGAATGGTTCAGATGATCAAGTCATTTGAATTTTAAAATATACACCAGATAACTCGTGAGCCAGACAACCTTAATTCAAGAAATATAAACTCGGGGATATAGTGAATTAAAAGGAGATTACCACATGCTGCCACGGTACTTCAAACTGTATGGGCCAGTTTCAAGGGAGCGATCGAAGTGGCTGTGAACCTTGTGCTTGCCCTTTCCCGTCTGATCAACCAGGGTCAGCTCAAACAAAGCCCTAACATCTGTCCCTTCACTCGCCAAAGCAATGAAAACGGAAACATACGTGGAATTATCCTCTGGGTTTTTACCATCTGGGTAAAAGTAGATTGCCCACTGGTGACCGCCAACGGTGAAAGTGTCACTGGCAATGTGTTTCCCGATGCCCATACCCTTGGCCAACGAGTACCCTTGGATCACGAACCGATGAGATCCGTTAACCGTCTCGGTCACAGACCGCGAGCTGGTCTGCGGCACCAGCTGGCTGATGCTGTTCCTCTCCGCCGTGCCGAGGGCGGTTATTCTAGGTGGCTCCGCCATAGGAAAATCTCGACCAGCTAGAGCTTCAAAGAGGTGAAAATCATCCGGGGATTAAGGGTAGAAATGTAGGAAGTGAAATCTTAATTTAGGGTTCTCGAGAACGATAAAGTGGTCGATTGCAGGCGGAGGGATAGGGATCGGCCGGCGAATGACGTCGCCTTGCAATACCAATTCACGCGTTAATCACTACTCCCTGAAAAGGAGAAACTACGTACCCTCCTTCCTAGCTCGATCTCAACTTTCTCTCTTGAACCTCCAAAACGGCATTTCGAATTGATTCTATTTCTTTGTAAAAAAAGTATTAGAAGTATTAGAAAGTACTTTTTTAATGTGGCAAAATTTGAAAGTATTAGAAGGAGAAAGTATTTTTTTCAAAAACAAGCAGACAGTTGAAATTCACTATATTAAAACAAATTACTTAAATTTATTAACTAATTTGTAGCAATGAATATATTCTACGGATAAAGCAATAGAATATTAAAATGGGAAATTTTGAATAAAGCAATAAGAAATAGTTAATAAAGCAGTGATAAACCCATGGATAAAGCAGAAAGCAAACTAAGTTGGAGCTATAAGAAAAAGACAGTTAATAGAAGCATTACATAAATAAAGCAATGATAAACCCAGAGATATATTGCAACACTATGAGGTTATGCCTAGTAAAAACTAAACAAAATATGTTATGAAGTATTTTTTAAATAAACTTGCATACTTCTCTACTCATATATTTACCCTAGCCCTCACACTGCTACTCAGTTTTTTTGCCCTTTCAAAAACTTGACAAGCAGATAGTTGATATTCAGTTTGTTCACGCATCACTCTGGCTATTTCTTCCCAAATTCTAGTGGAGGTAAAATCTACTTCAACTCCATTATAGGATCCATGGGAGTTTCTGACTTCAATCATCAACTCAGTTATTTTTTCATCCATTGTATCCTTGAGCATAATAAAATATGTTTAGATATAATCCACAAAAATATTATAATCATACAAAAAAAATAACATACTGGATCACATATGGAGGGGGTTGTTCTGGAACTGCCTTGGCTTTCTTCTTCTTCCTCTTGGGATCTCTTTCTCTTCCCTAATTAAGTCATATTGAAATAATCCTGAGAAAATAAAGAAGTTTTTAGATAAGAATATTAAAGACCAATCAATAACTCCCTATCTACGACCCATCAACAATGTATCTACGCGACGCGCATCCCGATGGGATTGTTTGGTTAGAGCAAGTAATTTGGTTAATCCCTCGATAGCCTCGGCCCGGCTGAGTTCTTTGTTCGATTGTTTCTGTTCGACTGTGATAAATTCGCCGTCTGTGTAATAGATTTTAGGTACACCTAATCAGGCCCCAACTAATGAATTTAATAGATTTTGGGTCTTTGACAAAAAAGAGTATGAATAGAGTGAAGTTATTTTTTACGGAGTATATTTTTTCTTTTTTTGAAAATGTTATAACTTTTTTGTTTATAATTCAATTTTCATAAAATTTATATCGAATTAAATAAAATTTTATAATTTTTCATATGAGACCAATATTGCATATGTAATTTTTTTGAAATTTTTTGAGTAAATATACTAAAGATTGATGAGTTGTACAAAAAAAAATACTAACAAAATGAATACACAATTTTTATATAAGAAGAGTTGAATTCTTATAGTGGACACTTTATTTAACGGGACAAATAAATTATTACTTCATTCGTTCTTAATTAGTTGTACTAGCAGTTTGGACACATTTAAAAAGAAAATAGTAAGAGTAATATATTAGGGGGTAAATAAAAAAAGTAAGAAAGAAAAAATAATTTGTCGTTATAGGGAAGTGTATATTTCTCATTACATAAGTCCTCCTTAAATAAGAGAGAAATAGGGTTTTACAATAAGCGGGCGTGATGGACATATTAACTTAGTATACACATTACCCTATTACATATTCTATCTATAATGATAGCACATTGTATGTAATTTCCTTTAGCACTCCCCATTGTGCTGATTTGTAGATAGAATGTTTGCACTTCAACTTGTCTTGTATGATTTCTGTCAAGTAACAAAAACTCTGTGGGGAAAAATAGCCTTGACAAGAGGATGCATATAATAGTATAGACGTCATTCATTGAGTCTTTCTTTGTGTTGATCCTTACTTTGTTCAATCATTACCTTATTAAAAACCTTTCCAAGAAATAAAACCAGTGGGAAAAATTAAACTTGGTTCAAGGAAAAGAGTATAACCTAATGGCGTGTGGGTGTAAGACTCCCCCTAATGTCTACACCTCCCCCTGATATTTCATTAATCAAGGGATTTCGGATAGCTTTCGCATCCCTATATTCTTCACGTGTTTCTCGAGTGTTACCTTAGGTAATGACTTGGTGAACAAGTCTGCTACGTTTTCTTCCGAACTTATTTGATTTACTTGAATTTTCAACAAGGCTTGTTGCTGCTGATTGTAGAAGAACTTGGGAGATACGTGTTTTGTTTTGTCGCCCTTGATGTACCCTAACTTCATTTGTTCAATACAGGCTGCATCTATATATATAGTAAAACAGAAAAGTCTAGGGGAGGATTTGAGGAAGAATGGGCGGGAAAAAACGTAGCATAAAAATGCAGTGGGGGTATGGGCAGCTAATAATTGCAGCATAGAAGAATTAAACGTAACTATTGAACTTCTCAATGTCTTTTGTTGTTTGAAAATTGTGCAAATATAAATGTGTTGTCAATTTTTAATTAGTCTTTTGAACTTTCTAGGATGTCTCTAGAAAAGTGCTAGCAACGATTAATTAGAAGGGCTAATTACAACGTGTGGCTGCAAATGAGGTGGTTTTGGGATTTTTGAAGTGCCTTTTGGTCTTCCCAAAAATGTGCATCATAAGTTCAACATTAAATAGGAGCCAAGTGTTACAATTTTTACTATAATAAATAGAGAAGAGATTAATCCGTATGAATCACAAGCTATGTATTATACGCAGTATATTCTACCTCCTTCCCATAAAATTCTTCCCACTTTGACTTGGCACGAAGATTAAAAAAATGGAATAAAGAGGAAATGTATGATTGCGGTTATGTAAGAAAAATGTGAAATGAATGTGAACCACACAAATTGTCCAAAAATGGTAAGTGGGAAGAATTTTTTGGGATGACCCAAAAAGGAAAGTGAGAAGAATTTTATGGGACGGATGTAGTATATAATACTCCGTAATAATAATAACAAAATAGTGGAAGGGAAGTTTGGGCTGGAAAACTGTAGCACTTTAAATATTTATTTAGTTTAGATCGAAGTTATCAAAAGGATTATGTCATAGAGTCCGTTTGGTAACATTAAAATTGGCTGAATTGGCTGATTCTGCTGAAATTTATGATGTTCTGGCTGAAGTGGCCGTATTGGCTGATTTTGCTGATTTATGAAAAAGTTATGTTTAAAATATTTGTTATTAATAAATTAAACAAAAAATTATATGAAAAAATAGCAAAAATGATCCTCTACAGTAACTTCAGCCAATACAGCCATAAACGTAACTCTAACCTTACTTTTTCAGCTTATTACAAAATTCAACGCGCGAAATCAAAAGTTAAGTGTTTGGTGAAAAAACCGGCTGATAAGCCTGATAAGCCGAAAAAAGAGGTCACCAAACGGGCTCATAATGTTTTTCGTAGTTGATGAAAAAATGATGACTAGAAATTAATAAGGCGTACCTTAATCTCTATAACTGTAAATAATGTCAAGAGTTGTGTCGCTTGGCGGCAAAAATTAACAGAGAAATCGAGACATTGAGCGGCCAAACACTGGCATGACTCAAGAAAAAAATGATGCCGAGAGAGACATTAGGCGGCCAAGCAATAATGGCTCAATTTTAACATAGATGTAATCCTTATAAAAAGCCCATAGTTATATCCCTACATGCACTCTAGATATTTGCCGAGCTACAAATGGAAGGTAAGAAAAAATTTAACAACTGTGTGTTTTTTATTTTTTGCATCAGAGTTTCAGGAGTTCTCTTACTTCGCTTTTTTAACTAATTAAATTCCTTGATTGCATATTTACAGATGCCCCAATTTTGGTGTTGCGAGAGATGTTTCATACTTGCATCGCGAAAAACAATGCTACCGGCGAAGTCAAAAGTCAAAAGTTTATTAGTTTAATAAAAATAAATAATACTGAAAATCATTAAAATAAAAAGTAATAAAATTCAAGACAACTTAGATCTCAGATCGATAGTTTTCAAACATTCAGATCCTAAATTGAAAATTTTCTATCATTCGTGTTCTATATCGATACATTTCATTTTCAGGTTCCGAATTGATAATTCGTCTATCTTTCAACTCCTGAATTGATAAATTTTCTTTTAGATATTAATGGATGATTACTAATAGTAGCAATATTTAAAAAAAATTGCATTAATCTGTCAACAAAAGGAATATATTAAAATAAACAATTTTGAAAATTGAAGTTAACACTACCTCTGCCCCATTCAAAGGTTTCAATTGCAAAATGAGATGATTGTTTAGACAATGATTAAAACAATTTTTTTAAAATAAATAAATAATAAATAGTGAAAAAAATAATTTAAAGAAAACTTTAAAGGGAATTAAAACGAGATAGCACATTAATAATTGTTTTAACTTTCTTTTAATTTTGTCACTATATTTTTATAAATTGAAATACCTTTTTTTTATTTATCTTTTTTATTATAATGTAAAATATGATTATCCTATTAAGTTATGGTAATGGTAGAAATGTAGAATAAAAAGATAGATGGTATTTTGGTCCTATCTTTTTTATTAGTTTAGTCCTATTTTGAGGCTATTTCTCAAATATATATTAGTGGTAAAATAAAGGTAAGAAAAGGAAAAACAAAATAAATAAGTGTAAGTAAAAAGAAAATAAAGTTAAAAGTTAGTACGGTGAGAAAAAGTTCTTTTATAAGAAAACTAATCCAAAAATATATATAAATATGAAAATGAAATAATAAACGGGAAGAAGAAAAAGGAGAAATGGAATACATAAACATTGAAAAAAAAGAATAAAATAAATTGAAAAGTAGTAAAATAAGAAAAAGAAGATCAAAAAGGAAAATAAAAGAGTCAAGACGATAAAAAAGGAAAAAAATTTAGGAAGAAAAAAGAAAAATGATACATGGGACCGCTTGGAGAAGATTTGTGAAAGGTGGGATTTATGGTTGAATGATTTTCAAAGAAAATGAAAAAACCTGGAATAGCAGGTCATCAACTGGTCAGGGACCAACGAATGAAGATGTGGTGCAGGGGTTGCATTATTATTCATGAATAACGATAAGATGAGACTATTGTAAAAAGGTCGCTAAAAGGGTTCACTTT